CCCCCGACAATCTGCTGAAATTTTACCACTTAGTTTTCTCCAGTCTAGAATTATTGTCCCTCTCAGGTAAGCAAAGAGAAATGTTCCCTTCCCCTGACCATAAAAATAAATGAATTACTACTAACAAAGAGAGACCGGGCAGGTGATCAGTTGGCTAAACTAATTTGTAAGTTTCAGGTTAACATTAACAAAAACATAGATATTAATACAACCCTCAAAGTTCCACTCATGGCAGTGAGTTTCTTTGTATCTAATCTATACTCTATTTGGAAAACAGATCCAAATAAGTAATACAAAATCAAGACTATATAGTCAACATTGCTCCCCTATGGAGTCAGTGTTGGAGGATTGTCTATCTGCCTGGAAACAGTGTATTGCTGGTCCCAGTGGATACAGAAGTAGGAAATATATCCTTTCGTGGTGCTTCTACTCTTTGTTGTTATTTTTCTCCTCTCTGTTTGCATTTTTAAAAGACAAGCCAGTCTGAGAGATCAGAAGAATTTCAATAGATCAAATTCCTTCTATGTTTAGGAGCAGACCCCTATTTGGAGTAACTGGTATGGGTCCATTTTGATCTATTTAAACTAGGCTTATTTAGATCTGATAAGAACCTGGGGTTTATAATCTGTCAGCACAACATATTTATACCAATTATACTAGTCCAACACAACTCTTTTCTCTCTATATTTGTTTTCTGAATCAACCTGCATCACAAAAAAATGCATAGCATGTAAGTTCTTAACACTTTCACCCAGATCTACTTCCCTTAATATGATTTCAATCTCTTCTTCAAAATAATAAATTCCCATACTTGTTTAAGAGTATAAAATAATCTAATTCATTCAAAATCACTCCACTCCTCTTCTATTAGCATATTCTTATAAAAACATAATTTACCTCAATTACCAAATAAAACAATATGTACAGCATTCAGAGATTTCCAACTGCTAGTTAACATTCAGTATGGCCAAACTCAAACACTCAAGTTATGAGAAAGCACCATCCCCCTCTCTCGCTCCCCCCAAAAAAACCATGAGATTGGCTCAGACAATGAGTTTTTTATAAAGTAATGAATTTTGGCTTTTTATTTGCCTTCTGGTCCCCCCGTCAGGCTCCCCGGCCCCAGGCACTGCACTCCATCTTCCGGGCACTGCACCCCTCTCTCCCCCCCCGTCAGGCTCCCCGGATTGGCTCAGACAATGAGTTTTTTATAAAGTAATGAATTTTGGCTTTTTATTTGCCTTCTGGTTTTTGAGTCTTTAGATTCACGTTTTCAGGATTTTCTCCAAAGCCACGAGAACAAATCAAAACTTACCTAGCAGACAAAATAAAAGCCAATATTTTCATGTAATCCCATGACTCCAGGAGCTAAGGATGTAATAGTGTAGTTGATTAACCAATTAACCGATAAGCAAAAGCTTATAGGTTAATGCTATAGATTAGACACATTCCCCCCACCCCTGCCCGTCAGTAAATTTTTTAGCAGGCTGGCCAGCAGTGTGGCTCAGTCCTGGCTTGCGCTGAGTCCAGAACCTACTTCTGATGCTGTCCCCATTCCTGGGGACTATAGAATAGTCAACTAACCGATAAGAATTCATGAGGTTAATGACTATTCAATTAACCACTATTTAACATCCCTACAAGGAGCTAAGGCTTTAAGAAAAATGACAACTATTGTAAGACTGAAAAAAATCTCAAGCACTGGCAACACTTAACTCTATAGCATCAGCAAGAAATAACGTTTACTTATAAGACACAATCCATTGAGATGTATGTGAGTTCAAATCTCTTGGTTTCCACTTTCCTCCAACTTTATAGAAAGTTATTTTCTTTTCTGCTCACATACGCTCTTAGGCTGTGTCTACATTGGCACCCTTTTCCGGAAAAGGGATGCTAATGAGACAAGTCGGGGCTTTGCCGGAGAAAAGCACCAGTCTAGACGGGATCTTTCGGAAATTAAAGTCTTTTCCAGAAGATCCCTTATTCCTCTTAAAATCAGGAATAAGGGATCTTCCGGAAAAGGCTTTATTTTCCGAAAGATCCCATCTAGACTGGC